TCTGGTTACCCCCTATAAACCTCCACCCACCCCTTAAATAGTAAGGGTCTAATTCTCATTTGTCTAGAGGGATATAGCAGAGAGGAATCCTGACCTTATTCCTTGCCTCCCTGGCAGCTAGCACTCTAATCTACTCCAAACTCAGCCCCAGACACATACAATGTAGAACCACTGGTCTTGCATTGTATATGATTGACTATCTAGGAAGAGTGGCTTTGATGGGCTTTGATGTAGGAAGCCTGCTGGAGCCCACCCACATTCTGGAGTAATGAACAATGGAGGACAGTGCTGGTTGCCAGGGGAAGCAAAGAATATGGTAATATATATAGTGAAGCCTGTGCAGTGGACTGTGGTTAATGTGGAAATGAACTGTGAATAATACGAACACTCCCAAAGATAAACAATAACCTAAACAGAAAAGATAAACTACTTTCACCCTTGAAAGTGATATATTCAGCAAAAAGTTCTTTTCATTTCCCCTCTATACCTTTTCCTAACCAAAAAGATATCCAGACTTAAATGTGCAATCTTAATTACCCCAATGGTGGATGTGTATTTGGGGTAATTAAGATTGCACATTTAAGTCTGGATATCTTTTTGGTTAGGAAAAGGTATAGAGGGGAAATGAAAAGAACATTTTGCTGGAAATGAACTGGCTTCTGCTAGCAATACCACAAATGTGTGAAATACAAAACAATGTGTACATACAAACATAAATAACTGCTGCGCTGCCACTAATGAGTGAATGTGCCACACTATGTTCATAGCTTATAAAACTTAAAATGTGCCCCTCCACCTCAGGGTCTTAATGCAACCTTGTAATATAGAAATTGGTTAAATGCCCCATGTGCTTAGTCCAGTGCTGTCAATAGTGTTAAATGAGTGATATATTGTTCAATTAGTGTACCAATCATGAACATCAATATTCCCAGTATGAATCAGGGGCATTCAAAAACATCAAACCATAAATATATCATGTCCTCCCCGTCTGCTCACACCAGCCCGCTCTAATAGACAAGCTGAGTACCTTGTTTACTGTACGCTCTCAGGCCCGTCTGTAACTGAATGTGGCTTGTCTGTTAGAGAGGGCCAGTGTGAGCAGACGGGGAGGACATGAACGTGCCCGTGAGGCGGTGGAGGAGTATTGAGGATGGTCTGGAGGTTTTTCGCATATGGAGTCTGTAATTAGCGGATAGATGCATCAAGGTCATACAGACAGCCAATTGCTGCAGGAGTGTGCTGAAGCATCAAATGCGCAGTCTGACCTACCTATGCAGGCGGTCAACATCTTGTGGGAGTGGGGCTCTGGAGGGGGAACACTAAGCAGAGCACCTATCACTAAGTTTGTCACGGATAAGAAGGCTGTCACGGCATCACCTAGTTTCACATTGGATGTGGATGGGGGAGTTTCTCACATTGGGACTTTACGTATTTGAATGAACTTGCCTACAAATGCACTGTGTTTAAGTATATTTATGGTTTGATGTTTTTGAATGCCACTGATTTATACTGGGAATATTGATGTTCATGATTGGTACACTAATTGAACAATATTTCACTCATTTAACACTATTGACAGCACTGGACTAAGCACGTAGGGCATTTAACCAATTTCTATATTACAAGGTTGCATTAAGACCCTGAGGTGGAGGGGCACATTTTAAGTTTATAGGCTATAGAGGTATATGTTTATGTGTGGGCCACTATCACGAACGTAGTGTGGCACATTCACTCATTAGTGGCAGCATAGCAGTTATTTATGTTTGAAAGAATAAGGTAAGTATTTGTATTTACTCTTTCTCCCTAGCCAAACAATCAATTACCCCTTACAGTCCATGGGGGAACCCAATGCATATGTAACTTTAAATATAAAAAAACTATATGCCAAACTTTTTTCATTTTAGATAGTGTGAGGCAGGTTATAACCCCTGTTAGTTTTTTTTTTTTTTTTAGTCTGCCACCTGTGTCCAATTGGGGAGATTTCCATTCTCCTCTTTTCTCATATTCAAAACAGGAAGTGAAGGAGAATCCTTGCAAAGTGAGAAATCCCTGGTTGTCCATATCATCAAAACGAGTGTCCCACTCTTAGATTTCCCCTCCATTGCTGTTCTGGTGACAACCCAAAGCTTAGGATTTCCTTTCACTTTAAATTTTGGTGTAAATGGTAAATAGAATAAATAGAGAGTGTGAATCTCCCTGACAAGGGCACAGACAGCAGTATAAACCCAACAGAGGGCTAATTTCTCTCCACTCTATACAAAATGAAAAAAATAGTGTTGTGTTTAATTATACTTTAATGACATCCTGGAGTTGGATTATACAAATGGTAGCAGGCAGCACTATTTAATGGAGTGTTGTGGGAGTTCATAGGCATTTCAGATTGTTTGTAAACTGCAGAAAAGGGTTAATAAGAGGGCAGTTTTTTAAACATCCAACCCCTCCCTTCTTAAATTAAGAATTAAACTGCACCCTGCTGGTTAATGTGAGGCTATTTTGCTTAAAAAAAAGTTGAATTAAATGTTTACCTGGAGATCCTCTTTATATTTTTGTAAACAGTTGATAAGATCAAGTCTGTTGTTAATATCAGTTGCACTATTTCATTACTTTTTTAAGGGCTCATTCACACGATTATAGTTTATTAGTGCACACGCGTTAAAGCTCATTGTGTTAAGGTAGACCATTCTTTTGAACTGGCTGCCTAACAAACAGGAAAAATGCCTGTACCATATCTGGAAGAGCACTGCAACACGTTTGTGCATTGCCATATGTTGTGCCCTCCACAAGGTGTGTTGGGTTGGCATACAGACAGGGCCGCTGATAAGGCAGTACAGCCAGCCCTCCTGTACTGGGCCCAAGCCTCATCAGTACAAAACAGGGGCCAGGGCACCTGCAGAGAAGGAGGGCTGGCTGCCAGCTTCTCCTCCTGTTTCTCCCTCTGGCTACGCTGCAGGGGAATCAGCTTTAGGATCTGTGCCCCCTTCCACCTGCTGTCGGATCCTCCATGTGTCCCCCTCCCCCGCAGCACTGCTGGCTTCCCTTCTCTCCTCTCTCACTGGCTGCTGCAGGAGTGGGGGGCAGTACATATGTCATATTTACCGGGCCCTTCCTTTCTTGAATGAACACAGTGAGCGATCAGTACTGATCAGTTCTGTGTCCATTCATCACTGAAGCATAGTATACTGTGTTTACTATGCTTCAGTTTGTGCATTAACAGAAAATCTCAGAGAGCTTCATATTCATTCACTGTCCAGTGAGGCTGCAGAAAAAGAAACTGAAGAATCTATGTCATCATTCCCTTTCTCTGTACAAATGTGAGACATCAGGGGTTTGTTTAACACCTGAAATTTCACCAAAGCTTCCCCAATAGGGCAGTTGATATTTTCAGAGGGGAGGGGCCCTGTCAAGTAGGCTGTATGGGGCCCTGCAATTTTTAACAGCAGCCCTGCATACAGAATGAATGGCACCACATCACACCAATGCAAATAGCATGACTGCAACTTTGTAGCTAAGCACCTGCTATTTAAGCAAATAATTCACAGGAATTCTTGAACCAAGCCCAGGAGATTTAATTCACTAATTCCAGGAATAAGCAAGGAAGATTTAATTTTAATTAGAAAGGAAGATGTTTGGGAGCAGAGCATTCTCATGTTCTCGTGTCACTCATGTTGAGGGGCCTGGGGCCTACCTTTTTTTAAACATTTCACAATTAGCAGAGTGTAATCATGACTTTCTTGTCTGTAATGGTACATTTATTAAATACTTTACCATCCAAAGAATGAATTTAGCAATGTACTTAGTAAGAAAGTTAAGCAACAAACAATAAAATCAGAGAAAGAAAATTTGGCAGGATCACAGAATCTTAGCATGTACAATTAAGGGAAAAATGCCTTTTGAGTTTAAAAACCATAATCACAGACCCTTAAGACTAGGTCAGTCCATACAGTTTAATGGTTGATCTGTCCCATAAGAGTTCATGAATAAACCCATGATCATACCACCATATGTGCACTATTGTAATGGCCTGAGTTGACAGGCTTTGGTCTGCATTAGATGGATGATTAAAATTTAAGTTGAACAGATTTAAGCTGATTTTTAAGGCCCGACTCTGGGGGGAAAAAATATAAACAAAAAAATTCCACCTCCTTCTCCCCAGCCCCAGCTGACGCAGAATATAATACTTATTTTTCTAAGAGGTGATATATGCTGTAAACCAATGGTGGAGAATGATCCTACTTTGTATGTGATGACATGGAAGTTCCTACCCTCATGTCAGTGCTGAAAAGAGAAGGAAAAGTCTGGTGGTTGCTGAGGATCCCTTGGTTAGGGTAGGTATCCCTCTCCATTTTATCATCTCCTAGTAAAACAAACATTATAATCTGCAACAGCTGGTGGACATTTTTATTTATTTTAATTATGCTCTGAATGACATCTTAAAGGAAAACCAGAAAAACTAAGAACCAGAAAAACTGTTACCCTGCAACTGGTTCAGCAATGGTAACATTAACTGTTCCATGGGCCTGGTCTGAAGTTATTTGAAGACGTGCATAATGGGGCTGGTGTATTAAAGAACCTGAGCCTATAATAGCACTAGATGGGTATGAAGAATCTGCAGTGTGAAAATTAGTATGCTAAAGAACGTTCTTGCCATTGGTAACACAATACAATCTAACACACTAAGCAACCAGGAAAACCTCCACAGGTGTTAACTTATGAATTTATCTTTTGACGTTTATGAAACCATCAAGTTAAAATGGATCAGTATTTAAAACAGAAAACACTAAACATAAAAAATTATTCCAAAAAATAATTATTTATTACTTAATTAATACTAAATATATAAAATAATAACCACATATATTTAGGCAATTCAATGAATGCACTACTATAAATTGTACAATCAAAACTTTTCTTGACTATTCACATTTGTAAACATTTTTTCAGCCAAACATGTAGTCTGATGCTTTATAAGTATTTAAGGTTCAGTTGCAGTGTCAATGTCTTTAACATCCCATCCAGCTGTTGGTGGCCAGCACCTGGAGGATTCTTCTTGACTCAATGCTGTACTGGAACTGTGATGTTCCTTGGAAGAAGTAAAGAAGGCCTGCAGAAAAAACACACAATGGTCAACTTTAATAGGAATGACATTTGACTTCTATCTTATTGGAGGTGCATCTAATTCAATGTCCATCATATGACATCCATTATAATTCTCTCCAATATGTTCTTCTAATAGATATTACAGCATTCACAGAACACTGGGATTCATTTAATAAAACTGGAGAGTACTGTGTATAAAAAACAATCAGATTCTAGATTTTATTGTCAAAGCTTAATTGAACATGCTGAAGTTAGATGCCAAGTGGCTATCATGTACAGCTGTACCAGATTCGGAGTGCACCAGTTTTAGTAAATATACCCCACTGAATGCTTGCATTGTATCTTCGGAGGTTAAGGTTTCCTTTTTTACCCAGACTCAAGTTAGTGCAAATATGATATGTTGAGCAGGAGGATTTACCACACCCAATACAAACACAAAAATGTATTTTCTTCTTGCAAGCATAGACTTCTTATCAAGCAAGTTTCTTTCTTATACAGATTTGAGGTATTATAATTCATAGTGTTGTGTGTTAATTTATTTTATATCTTTAATGTGTACAAGTTTAAAAACTGAACTCATATTTGTTTTATTATTTGTATAATATCATTCTTCTAAAATAATTTAGTTCAGGTTGCTTGAAGGACACTGTGTTCCAAAGCTTGCTGGAATTCCTAATGAAAAGCTCAGCAGAAACTCTTCACTTTCTTTATTAAAGTACTGTATGTACAGTTATGTGAGCACACAGCTAGTATTTCTAAGCTGTTAGAAACTGACCGAAATCAACTCTGCAGTCTTTCTTGTGACCTTTGAAACAACACAGTTTAGCACTGTCTGATACTTGTTTTATTTGCAGTAAGAGTTTCATGTTCAGGACAACCTTTCAGGGGTCTAATCAGTACTGCAAGGACCGAGAGGAAGAGGAAGAAGAGGGTAGACCCACGAAAACCTGTCCTGAAAATATAACAGTGCAAAAACATCTTTGAGGATATATGAGAATAAATACATTCACTGTAAAAGCACCTAAAGAGGGCAGGAATGGCTTGCTTTAAATCTTTTTACTTCTTGTTAAGAATGTGTAAATAGTTTATTGACCATAGCCTGGTTATGGGTGCATTTTAAAGCAGACATGTCTGCCCTTCCCTTAGCTACCAATCAAATTAAAGCATTCAAATTCCAACTGTTTCATTTGGTAAAAACAGCTCCAGTTTAGCAGTTTAAGCACTTTTTTGTTTGTCTATTTATATTTGTGTTATATGAATCATACAGAGGGTGTATCATGGTCATTTCAAATTCACAGATGCATGCTCAAGCAAACCTGGCATCCCTCCAGGCTCATAATCATATTTACCTCTATAATAAACCACAGCATCAATATTTGGACTCATTCCTGGAAATCCTTTAGCAATGAACTTTGGAAATCCTTCATCCACTGATTTTTTGTCTTCGTCATAACTGAAAAGAAAAATGACACCAATGTAACTCATCAGCTGCCATCAATGAATGTATAAAAATAATCCCATAGTACACAAAGGTTTGTCAAGCAAAAAAAGTGACTATACACCCGCCGGCCCATAGAAGTCTATTGATGGACCGATCTGGTCTGCCTGAAAAACAGGCAGGCGGATACCATCGGTCCTCTTGCGTCAAAGGGACCTAAAACTGAAGAGTGCAAAATTTGGTGCAGCTCTGCATAGAAATCAATCAGCCTCTGGGTTTTATTGCCAAAGCTTAATTGAACAAGGTGAGGTTAGAAGCTGACTGACTACCATGCACAGCTGCACCAAATTCTAAGTGCACCAGTTTTAGTAAACCTCCCCAATAGTTACTTTATTCCTTGCAGCTTCTGTAAATCATTCTGTGTGTTTAATTGATGTATCAGTTTGGGCATGAATGGAAAACCTGAATTTCAGGCACTAAGAAGGTCAGTTTGACCAAGAAATGTGTGTATCTATGAAACTGGCATGATCAAAGAAAATAATGCTACTTATAGAATTGTCCTTGATAGAGGAGGCAGCTGCCTTCTTTGGAGTCTTTCAATTGCTTGCAAACTTTAGGAAAGCTAGCTCTACAGAAACATGGTATGGCAGCAGCTTTGCTGGGGATTTGGATGCAAGGTCCAAGTTTCTACCGAAGGGGGGTTTGATATGTGATTAGAGACAGTATGCCTATAGTTTATTTGTAGGGTTTATTGTTATGGACAAACTTTCTAGATGATGCCATGCTGGAAGTGCTAAGTATGTTATTAGGATGCTGGAAGCAGAAAAAACTCAGTTCTAATATTATTGAAGGTGAAAGTTCAGGGGCAGTTATCTTCATCCTTGCTTTACTAGAATGGAAGAAGCTGAATCAAGGATGAGCTTCTAAACAATTCAGAAATGGGTAAGCCTTCATCTTTCCTTAGACTGCTGTGTGTACATTAGGTGACCTTTTGTTGGATTTCATGGCAGTCAATCACCCCAGTGCTGCATGTTAAGTATTATCTGTGGAATACTAACCTCCAGTACTTATTTTTGACGAAGAAGTAAGTCTTTCCCAGGTGCTCCACATGGACAATCGCATCAATTTTCTTAACATTTCTAGGAAATCCCAGCTTGGTGAGGCTTTTAGCTCCTTGTGAAACATCAAATCCATCAAGAGTCCAATATTTGTCCCCTAATTGTAAAATTCAACCTTATTAGATGAAAAGGCAAAAACAGATAGATATGCAAAACAATCACCACTGAACTACATTTAGGGAGTGATGAGTAAGGTAAGTACAGTATATCACTTTATTTCAATCCCCCTAGACATTAGCCTGGGCATTAGCTTTAACCACTTGCTGGCAGTGACTTTATTAGGCTAAAGGTATACTTGAGATTTTTATTAGCTCAGTTGAACTATTGTAGAAATTGATCAGTAAACAAATGGAACAAATGACTCCCCATGGAGTAGTGATTAGTTTGGTATGATACTCCAAAATATGTGACTGACCATCTTCAGGAGTTACTGAATGCTAAAATGGGCTGTATTGCAGCAGGTTAATGAGATGTGGCCAGATTGAAAATCATGTTAGTGCTTACTGTCCATTTGTACATCTGCCTTGCAAACTTCCAGCTAAATGCCAGGCTGCTTAAATCTAGCAAAGGGCATTGTACCCACAAGTGCAGACACTATGTTCCATTTAAGCAATGCAGTGACATCTCTGTGATGACATTTAAAGGGTTCATTCACCTTTTCAGAAAAAAAAATTAGTAACACCCCCCCCCCCCCGGTCCCTGCTGTACTTACCTCTGTGGGTGATGAACTGTCAGTGCCCATGCAGCCAGTGAAGCAGTCCAGGGTCCTGATATACTCACTCTTCTTCCCCTTCTTTCTGTAGGGCTTCCGGGACAAATCAGACTGGCTCCAATTGGTCAAAATGGTAACATGGCACTGACCAATCAGAATCACTCTAGTCCATCCTCGAAGCCTTACACAAAGAAGAGGAAGAAAAGCATGGATTTCAAATTGTCACACCACTACACAAATTTGATGGGTACTGACAGCTCAATACTCATAGAGATTCTGTAAATACAGCAAGGACCAGGGTGAACCTACATTTTAAGAAGGCTAAAACCGCATCCAATTTTAACTAGGAGTGCATGCTCAAAACACATTTGTTAGGACTAAAATAACTTTTGTCATTTTATAGCACTGATAATAAAGCATGTCCTCCATTTTACCTTTAAATACAAGAACTTCTCCAGTAATAGGATTCTCATAAGCAGCATCAATGTCATTGGGTAAAGTTGGCCACAGACTCTGGATAAAAAGCAGATCAGCTTCACCTCCTTGTGGATGTTTACGCCATACAAACCTAATGGAAAAAGTCAACAATTACCATTCTTGTACACTATAGTCTGTTAAGGCTGAATTAACGGCACCAAAAGTTTTATCTTAATGTATTCCTCAGTATTCACAGATAGCATAATTCCACATTTGGTGCGCGGAACAGATTAGCAAATCTGGATATACTGTACCTTATTAAAGTAGCAGTGTACTAACAAAGCCTGTGCAGAGAGCAGAACTGTGGGAGGGACCTAGCAAGCTCCACCCAAAAAAAGGCTACCTACAGAAAACTGTAGAGGTGGATACAAGACCAGTCACCCTGCACAATGAAAGAGAGCAACAGTGACTGGTCTTTATTAGCTACTGCACAGAGGCAACATTTCACACTAAATTGCTGCACAGAACTGGAAGAAATACACAAAGCACACTGAGATTTAAGGAAGGACACACATGATTTGTATTTAGACAATAAATGTTTATCCCGGAGTTCAGCTTTAAAGGACCTTTACCCTTTATTTAATTGCATTTTCAGATGTATGCATGTGTGTGCTTGTGTATATAGAAAAAGGGAAAAATATCCAAGCAACTCAGAGATAATCTTTACATTCCTGGAGTGTTTGAACTATCCCCATTTCATCTGTGGGGCTCTCCTAACCTTGAACAATCTTTATGTTACTTTCTGAACTGCCAAGCCGTAGGGAGATGTCAATGCATATCTCCTATTTTTCTATCTTAAACAAAGTGACTTTTATCACAACCGTATTAGTGTTCTCATTATTTGTCAGCTTAAAAAGACACAAAGCTGAGCACATTGAAGAACTGGAATATGCATTCTTACATGATTAAGATGGTGCTGTCTCATCTATGAAGGTGTTTCATTTACACTCCTACTTAAATTTACTTAAAGCTGAACTCTGGGCAAAAAAACTTTAGTAGTTAGTATTTGTTGCCAGCATGGGGACCGGCAGTTGACTTGGCAGAAATTGTTGAATACTAGAGTGTCTACGGACTCTAAATCCAAGTCCCAATTGGTGTCCAAAGAGTAAAAATAAAAAGAGTGAAATATAAATATATCTTCTCAAACACTAAATAATGGCTCTCATGAATGAAACAATCATATCTGTACATAATGACTATCTCTTCACTATATAATGAGAGCTTCACAGCTAAGTGCTTTTACCTGTTTATAAAGAAAAACAATTCTCCTCGGAGGGTGGTGACAGCATCAAACACAAGGTTTTGGTCACATTTGGAAGGGGTGGTGGGTCCTGTTGGCTGCACTTCATCTGAGGTCTTGCCTAAAACAACAGAAGAAAAACTTGAGAAATAAAAATAATGCATCTTATGAAAAAACTGCAATGCATTCTCATATAATGTGATACCTCTCTAATTCCATTATTAATTAATACATTGATTAGAGATTGTCTTACCATAGAGAGATTGGATAGCATCGATGTCATCCTGAGGAAGCTTGAACCGGCTGGGGTCTGTGTGTGGGTAATTGGGGTACATTAATGCCCCAGGGTCTTCAGAATGGTGCAGACCAAGTGAATGTCCAAATTCATGAGCCGCCACCAAAAACAAATTATATTCTAAAATAAAACAGCAACATCAGTAAATCACAAATTCATCATAGAACGAAGACATACATTTCACATAAATTACATACAATGCAAAGATCTTGGTCTTAAAGAATTATCTATATCTTATTATGAAGATCTGTGCTAGGCACTTATCTATATATTCCAGATTTGTTTTTTAAAGCTGGCCATAGATGGTTTGAAAATCGGCTGATTCAGCAGGGAACGGCCGAGATTTGATCCATCTATAGTCAGGCTGAGTTTACCCAAGTGGATCCATCTTCAAAACCAGCATGTTGAATTTCTAGCATAGCTGCTAGCAATAACATATGTGTTCTCCCGGCAGGGACTGTTCCCTATACCTACCTGCCAGGAGAACACAATAGCTCCACCAGAGGAATTACCTGATCAACACTGAAAAACACTGACAATTCATTGATGGGGGAATCAAGCGATTTTTTTTCCTGCAACCTGGTTACATGATCTTACACTCTTGCAGTTTATAGTTACATTTTAAAAATAAAAGGCGTTATTCCCAAAGCTTTAACAGGAGGTTAAGGATCTTTATTTATGAACATGTGACAAATTTTCAATTTCATTTGACTTAGCTGAAAATTTGTACTTTGTGCTTTTTTTTTAAATAAGGATCCTTACCTTGGGGTTAGATTTCTGAATGCATATACAGTATATTTATATTATTAATGACACAGGGTTTATACAGTATAATAATCAATTGACTATATTACTTAGAATACACTATATTTGTTGTGACATTTTTACAGAGCTAATAATGGCTTACGTTGGCTGTTTTTTGTGAATTGTTCATCTTCATCAAAGTGAGCATCCCCACCAATGCCTTTACCAGGCTGAAAAGCATGGGCTAAAACCCCATTAGGTCCATCAAATGGAGAGTTATCACTGTGATCTACAAAAGTCAGAGGACACAAATCAACATCAGACATTGAAATTTAAATTTGTCAAATAATTTAACACTAAAGAGAAAGGGTACCGCTGTTACCTCCAGCTACAAACTTGATCTCAATATCGCATTCTCCATTATAGACTCTGGTGAAGGTTAATGGGGTGACGTCACTCCACACTTTGAAAGCTCTCGCCAAGGAACTCTCCACATCTGCCTGAGGCATGTCTGGTGTGAAATTCACAATCCTTCAAAAGAAATAAAATTCAAAGTTAATTTGTTCTTTGCTCTATGATATTCTCATGAAAAAGTTCATTTTCAATATATTTTAAAGTTTTTTTTTCTAAAATCATCTTAAAATGTTCTCATCTTTGTTGTACTCTCTATGAATCTAATTTGAAGATTCCTCTACTCCTAGTGGGTTTTTTTACCCCTTAGCTGTCTTGACTAGAGTTGCTGAGATTTAAACCATATGGAGATGTAGAAAGTAATAAACTTACATTGAGAAGAATAAGGGTCTTTGCTATAGGTATAGTATTGGTAAAAGGAGATACAGGCCAGGGACAAAGTCAAATCATTCACAAGACAAGAGATGTAGGTTATTGCAGTGCTGCTACCTTGCCTATGGTCCTTAGTCTGCTTTATTCTGTTTCTGGCCAGGGATTGTACCATGTAAATTAAAATTAAGAAACTTAGGTTTGTATGAATAATCACAATAATAATTCCTAGGCAGTGTGTGAGCCTGATTTACTGAATTGTGAGGCTAAAGTAAACTGAAGATGGGTCTCATTAAGCAATCTAGCATGACATCAGTTTCCATTCACATCTAAATATATGAAGCACAATTTAAAAAAGGTAATGACTTCTTTGAAGGTTGGATGTTTGCGGCAAGCACATCATCTCACTCAACCATGTGGTAGGTTCACTCCACAATTTAGTAAATTAGGGTCAGAGAGTCATTATTAATTTCTAAACTAACAGGGATCTCCCATCTAGAAGTAGTCCTGCTTTCTGGGTTAAGACCACAGATGAGCCTCCCATTAGCTATGTATATAAAGATATCCAGATGAAAAAAAATCTCAAGAAGTACAGAGAGTGAGCAGACCAAGGGTGCTGTCAATGAATCTATCTTTGACAAGACCAAGTTAAGGTGGCTGCAGTCATTTTAGAACCTTCAACTGATCCAGCTATTTCAGCTAGTAGGGTTGAAGAACGTATATCTATATGTCTTCCCAATGATTGGTCTTCCCAATGATTATGGCCAAGTTTATTCAGGGGAGGCACTGATAGGCTGTAATGGATTTTTGGCTAGTACAGATTTCTGCACCCTATTTTTTTAGTCTGATGCTTGAATGCTGTTACTATTTGCTACCTACAGATTGTGCTATAATAATCAATGATATAGTAAGATATTTACTTGTAGGTCAGGTCTGTCTTTTGCCAGGCAGAGCTTTTTTTGGGACTGTACTGTACTGGCCGATGTCATGGACTCCACAGCGAGGTTTCTCCATCATTTCTACAGTCTTACGATCCAGTTTTCCGGTTACATTCAGACCGAAAAACTTCTGCATTTGTTCAAGCTTTTCAATGAAGGGATTTTTGATATTTTTCCTCCCAGTTTTTCCCCCAGTTGCTTTCAGGTCATAAAACTTTTCTAGATATTTCTGAAAATATAAAATAGATGTATTGTAATAAAATTAATTAATTAATACAAGTATAGAACATTTACATATTTAAATCATCGATTTATATTCTATATTCATAATAAAATAATGCAAAACAACACAGATGATGAAAAAAGCAGCAACTAATCAGATTTCAGCATCCGGTGAAAATAATTTTGAATTATTATTTTTTTCTGTTTTGAGATTTTCAAAGCAGGAAACTTTATTGTTTTCCCCCCACTGTGGTTTATTAACACTTACAGAGCAGCTGTATTATTTTGTGTATTTAATATCAGCCTTGAGTTCAGTTTTAAATTTAGGTTTGCATTTTAAAAGGTACTTACACACATAATTAGACAGAGGCCAGTCAAGAAAATTGTTTTTAACTTCTGAAAATGTTTTTATCATGCAAAATGCACACTCATCTTGATTTGATCAAATATTTAATAACAAATGCTACTGCCAATGTTTCCTGATCTCTGGCTTAATGGAAACAAAATACATTTTTGCTTAAGGAACAGCCGTTCTCTGTCTATTGTCCTATTGTCTTTGTTCCTTTTCCACTCCCCTTGTTTTTTGTTTTCAAAAAACCTGATGGTGGAGACACAGACCCCTGTTTTTTTTTAAATATGTGTTTATATAGAAAAAATATTTTTTCTTAAAGGGGAAGTAGGACCAAAGCTCTTTTGGCTATTCTTCTTCAGGGAATCAAAGGAGTGCATTTTGTTCTGCACTCCTGTGACCTGGTTTCAGACAACAAAGGGCTAAAGTCCACTGTTGGCTAATGTCACTTTGCTGGTCCAGACTCTGGAGGGATTCCAACTTTGATGTCGGGATTCTCCCAGATACCAGGACCTGCAGCTGGCTCAGCCTCTTAGTATGCTACTGAGAACCTGAGCCAGCCGTTCCACAGCATAGGAGTGCTCGGCAGTCTTTGATCGCTCAGTTTTCAATCTTAGAAGTGGTGGGGGACAGATGTAGCATCAGGCAGATGCTGCATCCACCTAGGTGAGTATAAATGTTTGTTTTATTACAAGCCTGAACTTTTTTATAAAGTTAACCCTAGATGGATCAAACAGCAGGCCATTCCCACTCAATGGTTGAACGGAAATGTTGGGTCATTTTTCTATGATCAACTACTACAACCAATCGGCTGCAGCTTTAATCACTGTATTCTGACAGCAGAAGATAATACAATGGCACAATGGGGAGGATTCCTCCACCTTGCTTGTGTGGATGGGGGAATCCATTCATTTTTTTTTCCTATCAGCCTGCTGACTAAGCAGAAAAAAAAAAGGCCCAGCTATACCCCACCTTAGTCTATTTTTTTTCCTGTCTGTGTCCCCTTGGGGATATTTCTCTTCATTTCCTCTTCTAGAGATGGAACAAAAAGTGAGAGGAAATCTTTTAGACAGTTGTCATTGAAACAGGGGACCCCCTTGAAAGATGTACCTTCATCTCCCATTCTGGTGACAGCTGTAATATCCCACTGACAATAGTCAATAGTCAATCTGATGGTAAATCTACCCAATGGAGGTAAAGACAGCAATAAAAACAAAGGCTCTAATCCCTATTCTATCCAAAACTAGAAAAGCAAATGCAAAAAAGCAGTAGACAAGTAAGAGTTATTTCAGTTACTACATCACTAGTGTGCGTACTAGATCAGCATTCTAAGAAGAAAATATTACCTCTGCCAATTGTGCGTGTTTGCTTTCTAGGTCATCTTGTGGAGCAGCTGGGAAGGCAGCAGCCAAGGCTGCACAAGACAGGAAGAGGAGTAGAAGACTTGTCATTCTGCTGGATGGGATGTTTCCTCAATCTGAGGTTGTATGCTGATTCCAGACTGCACGGTCGTCTTTATATAGCCCATCCATGTCTCATAACAATATGAGTCATGCTAGTCTTTCCTAATTACCGCAGAAAATCATGACTTCGAGCCAAAAATCTGACACAACTTCAGTTAAGTAATACTATAAAAATCCAGAGTGCTGTGTAAATGACAGGAAATGCATTGCCCCAAGGCTTCCAGGTAGTTATGTCAAACAAACTGCTTACAAAGCATAGGTGATCCTTGTCAGTACATATAACTGCTGGAGTTTAGACCTACATCATGATGATGCCAAGCAGAGTGCCAATGGGGCTATTAATCGTGATCCAGTACCAAGCATCACTTGATTGGCATTAATCCCATGAAAAGTATATACACATTGCTTAATCACTGTCTGTCTGCAAATTCATATTTAAAAAGAAATTTTGTATAAGTGAAAATTGATGGGTGGAGTTAATTGATAGCATGCATGAGTGTTATATCCAGGTTAAGCCAGAATAGTCTTACAGCCCCTATACCCTTGATGAATGTTCTCCCAGCCAAGGACATTATAGTAAACCAGATTAGTTCTTGCGCTTCTATTTCTGAATTTCCAGAACTATGAGCTATGTGATTGTTATGTACATGAATAAGAAGTAACCAGAGTTTTAACCTGTTGCAGATTTCCAACCCCTAGAGGTCAAGGATGCATTCATTTTCCTTTGTTAGGCTTTTTTCTTTATTTTCATCTGGTGATCTGTCCATTACCACACTTCGTGTGTGTGCCCTGTCATAGGGTGAAGTAGTAAAGCAGACACCTTTGGATAGCAACATTGTCAGTGTGGGGAAAGGGTAGTGTCAGATGCACTAGCAGACTTAGATGGACTTGACTAACACATTAACCACTTGCCCTTCCAGAGGATTTACCCCCCTTCCTGACCAGGCCATTTTTTTTTTTAATTCCATAATGTTTTATTGAGAATGGAGATGCAACATAACAGAAAGAAAGGTGTACAGCTGAATACAGTATATACACGTAAGGCATAAAAGTCACACTGAACTAAGCGACATATGTAATCCTGGAGCACACATTAAACATCGACAAAAAATTATAATGACTTCTCTCCTAAACAGGCATATTGAGTAAGGGAAGAGCATGTATAACATAACATGAAAAAGGTGATATTGAAATCCACTAGTAACCAGAGTCGTCTAATAAGCTCGGTGAGAGGGGCATTTAAGAAAGAAGGGCAAGTATAATGGTATCATATGGTGCATTGTAAATGAGACTACGTGGGGCAGGGTCCTATGCGAAGGAGGGCATGTTGCCATGCAAGCTTCGTTAGTGAGTACAAGCATTGAGAGTTGCATATATTGTACATCGATACAGTATGTGGGAATGGGCAGTTGTGGAGCAGGAGGCATATGTGTGACCAAGAAGGGGACAGACAGAAAAACATCATAGAAGTCAGCTGAGAAGCAAATAAAGGAGATAGAATGTAGAGGGAAAGATGAGAGAAACATAGATGAGAGGAGGAGAGGGAAGATAGGAAGGGAAAAAGAAAGAGAAAGGAGGGGAATGAGAGAGAGGGAAAGGATAACAAAAAGAGAGGAAGGTTGGAAAAGAGGGTAGAGAGGAGAAGAGGGGAAGGTGGGGAGTGAATCGTGGCAGGGAAAAGGCAGGGGAAGGTTGTAGGGAGGGGAGGTAAGGGAGGGTGATGGTAGGAGGGGAAGGGAAGGGGAGAGGGGTGATGG